GTTTTTCTCTTCCCCAGTCCACGGTACCCCCATGCATAGATCTATCAATGCTGCCGCACATCCACAAAGTTACAAGTGCCTAGAATTTTCAAGTATATACAGTTTACATTTCTTCTAAATATCTACCTGAATAAAAACAGTCCACTTTCTACGTGACAAATTCAGAAAACAGCTTTGATTACGTGCGTGTCAGGTGGCACTGGTTGTGCCCTAACTTCCCACAATAACCCCTGCGATAAATAAACTTATTGTTACGCGGTTATAAAAACACATTGATTTCTTAGACTGTCGCGTCGCGAGTTTTTGTTCGTGTGGCGAATCATGCGTTGAGGGAGTTTATGCAGCTCTAGATGTTTTGGATACCCTAGCTGTCTACGTTGAGGAACGGGTCGTAACGCTGCCGGCGGCACGGGAGCGATTTTTTTTCGTAGCTTCCAAAATTTTCGCTCTCGTAATTGTTGTTACCAGAGCGCTTTGAAAGCTGACGGGAGCGAAATCGCTCGCCGCTCCCGTGTATTTTTTTCGCTGATAGTGTCTATGTTTTTTGTTTCATTCCTCTAGGCTGCACATGTATATATTATGTTGGTTATGGGCCAAGACCACCTTCCTCATGCTCAAAGCTCTTGTCTACCCCAATGTGGACTGAAACTGTGCGACAGTCACACCTTTTGTACTTTGAACATTCAATCTTCACACAATTGTGATTATACTTGTCACCGAAAATCTTCATTGATTTCCAACTACACTGGTTTGCACTATCTTTGTAGTTACAGTCAAACCTATCTGAGGGTAAATCGAGGAAAATCTAAAAGCCCTCTTCATAGACAGATGTTTGTATTGTTGACAGAGGCCATGTCACTGTGTAAGTGCCACTCAGGGGAAATGCCAAAAGTGTCCTTTATAAATGGGGATCTGTTCTATAGAGGTGTTTTCGCCGTATAACCACCCCTCTAGACGGACGCCAAAAGTGGCCTTTGTAGACAGGTGGCCCGCGGCCGCTCTATCTGCATGACTGACTGACTACTAACCCGGGTTACGGTTTGACTGTACGTGGATTTCTCGTGCGCTATATATATAGGAAGGTGTCAAGTACCTGAGAGGTGCCAAGAAAGACATGCTGATGTACGCTTACAGGGCTTGGACGAAATTGTTCCTGGGGAGGAGACTTCTGAAACTCGTGTGGGCGTACGGCCGGGTGCTTGCTCTCGCCTCGCGAAATGCAAGCGTGTGGCGACGATGGAAAGAGCCGCTCAGGTTTAGGCGTGTTATTCAGCTTGCAATCGTCTGATTGATCCCCCTGAGCTTGCTTCAGTCCGCTCAATTATTACTTATACGGTTTTCATACTAAGTGGCGAGACGCAAAGAGAGTGGAGTGATTTTGCTATGCGTCCTGAGGTGCAACACATGCTATTTAGATTTCTTAACCACCTAAAAATCTCATGAGAGAAGCTCTGTGCACGGTATGTTGCGTTGTGTATTTCGTGGTTTATGATGGTAGACGCGGTGTGGTTTTTGCCATTGCAAGGTTGCGATTATGTGAAAGTTTGCATGCGAGCATGCACGTGCCCACAGGTTCTACCACCTGATGGCATGTCCCGTCACGTAACATGCTCATTAATGTTAAGACTTATTATGTTACAGGTCACAGTGGCAGAGCTGATAATCGGCCAGCTCTTACCCAAAAATTTTGCTTGATGGCTGGCTATAAAGGAAGATACATATATATATACATTACGTACTAGATATATTATCTAAATATACATTACGTACGACTGCGTTTTTAGCTCGCCTTGACATCGTCAAGATGGGCTATTGCTATGGGGTGTCGTCCGTCCGTCCGTCAACATTTGGCTACAGTCAACGATAACTCAAGAACCGTTTGACCCACATGTTTCAAATTGAATACAGTTGTTACTCCTATGGGAGAGATTTGAACTTCCTATTTTGGAGCACGCCAGTCGACCTACTTTCGAGCCACGCCTACTTTTTGGCAAAAATGAATATATGGTAATCTAAATTCATTCGATTTTGTTAAATTTTGGTATGTGAATGTGTAAGGCTAGCCCCAAAACAGTTGTTACTCCTATGGGAGAGATGACAACGTCCTATTACGTTTATTTCGTCTAACTGGTTAACAACTCTACAATCATACCTATATAAGTGTAATATTGTGTTTTAGATTCTTCGTTACAGTAATTTGACTGGAATATTTTATTGTTTTTATTTGCGCGATATTCGAAAACCAAAATGGCAATCATTTAGGCGTAGCGCCATCTCTTGTCAAGATTTCAGACTCAGATCTGAAACATTTATTTTCGCATCAAAACTTATGCATATATATATCATTATCAAGAGTATATAATGGGAGATATGCTATATATAATGGGAGGTCTCCTATATATACTCTTGCTTTATATATCCCCCTCCCTCTTCTAGTTCTATCACACCCAAGGTGAGCTACAGTGTCATTGACAATTTCATTTTAGTACCTTTCACTACACGTGTCATGTAATAAGCTTTGTGATGAATCTGAAAATATGTAAATATTTCTATAGGTTTTCAGGTTAGGCATTCAGTGTACTGCAATTGTTAATTGAAATTATGCATCATAGAAACCTTGAGCATAAATAGTAATAACAACTGACTTTAAAGTTTCTCTACAGAGTGGTGAACGTTTGTGACACGTTTGAATTTTATCTCAAATCTCGCTTATGACATGATATAAATCTACTGAAAATTGTCTAAGAATGCACAATACTCAAATGGGTTTGATAAGGCGTGCGAGTGAGAGGTGTGTAGATTACTACACGAAACTGACATTGACCTAAATATGACCTTGATGCAAACAGGAGGGAATCGAGTACCTCAAGGCATCTGGGGAGAGAAAATTGCTGCGCGAGGCAGGACTGATTCCTAGAATTCAGCGAACTGAACTATGGTCCAGTTGGCAAAGGTTTGCATGTCGTCAGTGTAGAGCATACATGTGTTAGAGAACCATCTGACAGTGTAAAATACAGTCATACCTGTATATATAATGATTACTCAAGGAAAATGCTAAAAGTGTTCTGTATAGACATGTTGCCATTCTTTAGAGGTGGTTCACCACCATAAATAAGTGCCACTAAAGAGAAATGCCAAGTGTCCTTTATAGACAGGTGTTCGTTCTGTAGGGGTGATGGCTAACACAAGGTTGATGTAGAAATGCGTTCGTAGCTCTCTGTATGGTTCAGGTCTCATGCATTTGTGCTGCAGTTGTAGGGCCGTTTCATGTGTGTTTTACAGTGTCCGGATTTGTGTGGCTGCCGGTTTGTGACGTGCATCTGTAACATTGTGTCAGTGCCAAAAGGAGTTTTTGCTTTAGTGCATTTTGGTGGCTGGTGGCCTAGCTACACCAATTAATGGACAGAGCATACTTTGCTGAGGCACACGCTAATTGTTTATTACGAGTGGTTTTCTTCTTGCTTTCCCTCCTGCCAAGAATTGCTGCTATGTGAAACGAAGCAACTCTCACTAGATGTGGGGTACTACCTGGATATCATATACTGGCACGTTTCTACAATGTGATATGTCTTAGAATGTTATATGTTCTGATGTTACGAGCTCTACAATGCTATATATGTGTTACAATGATACACGTTCTGCAATTATAGCTGCGTTCACACGAGGATTTCATTACCGTACTTAGCGTTCACACGGTAAAAATATTCAAGGCTTATGTACGCGGCCTCCCAAGTACCGTACTGAAATACGAGGCTTGTTCGGCGTGGAAAGTGATTCCGCGCTGAAACACCCGCTTAAGTACGGCACCACGCTGGCCGCGTGTTGTCTGTCGTGTGAACGCAATTCGAGGCCTCATAAGCCGTGAAAATGTAGTGCGCTACATTGATACTAGGCGGCGGAGTGTCGTTTTTCACTTCCGGCTCATGCCATTGAAAATATTTCTCCGAATTTCCGTTTGATAATCGTCTTCATCACCAAAGCATTCGTAATGCTTATCTGGATCATCATTTTGTGTAATTTTAGTGAAAAACTGCCACAAACAACTGACTTTCATGGGCGCCGCTATCATGAAAAACACTTCCCTCTAGCGGAGAAATTATTTACCATTATACCTAGCCAGCTAAGCCTCGATTCTCGTGTGAACGCCGCGGGTTGTGTTAGCACGGTATTTCAGCCGAATTTAGCACCAGATAAGTACGGAACCAGCGAGGCCGTGAATCTCGTGTGAACGTAGCTTATGTTATACGCCATACAATGTTATACCTTCTACAACCATGTTATATTCCCCGCAATGTTAATTTTCTACAGTGTTATGTGTTCACTTGCAGGAGGGAAGTGCGTTTCTGGAGGCACAGGACAAGCAGCTGGACGATGATGCAAAAACGCGCGGACAGCAGGACAAGATCGAGCAGATCAACTCTGAAGAACCGCTCGCAAAGCGAAATAAGCCGGCCACTACTAAGAAATCGAGCACCATGGAGAAGACACTAGAAGAAGGTACAGTACTACGTACGGCTGGTGCGATGGTTGATAGTGATGCTAGCAGTTTACGGTGTTGTTCTGTAGTAAGTTTGTAGGTGTACTAATGAGGTAAGTTTTAGCCTTGGGGAAAAATATTAAGAATCTGTATGAGCACAATATGTTATTCGCAAATCCATTCATCATTGTGTCCCATTGGTGCTTACGTTTCGATTTCACTTGCAGCGAAGAAGCTGTTTAAGGGCGAGATAAGTTTGGACGTGACGGAAGGGCGGCGAACACGGTCTGCGGGACGAGGAGGTCCTCCCAAACCACCTCTGAAAAAACGTGTTGCCTCAAAAAAAGACGGAAAGGTAGAGCAGGAATTTTTATTGTCTGTCTAGTGTCTATGTATGTTATGGTTATAGATAGTGTTATTGATAGTGAAATGCTTGGCTATCTATATTGACATGACGAAAAATCATTTTTTTAGGAATCAAAATTACTGCAAATTATTAACTCATAAAATGCAAGCAAATATACAAACATGACATAATCCGGTCACCAATCCCTCATCTATATCTCCCTGCATTTCTGCATGTACTTTATACCAGCAGATAACCTATTCCAAAGCGAGAAACGTTTAACGAATGCACGTTCTTTTGTTCAGGTGACCGGCGGGAAGCGGGGTCGCCCAAAGAAGTCGCAGGCAGCCACAGAGGAAGATGAAGTGCCCGCCGAGAAGGGAGAGAAAGAGGAGAGCACTGAGTCAGAAGAAGAGAAAAAGCCAGAGGAGACGTTAAGCGAGAAGGCGGAGGAGGAGTCGGCAACGGAGGAGCAGGAAAGCAATAAAAAGAAAGAGGATGATAAATAGACTAATATATTGTCGTGCTGTATGCCGGGGAGAGCGGGGCAGTCGCGTAGGACAAGAGAAGTCATGCAGATAACAAGACATAACGTAATTGAACTGATTAAAGGGGAACAAATCCAATTCCGTATGGTCTCGGAACTTTGCGCCACGTGTACGCAACATGGCAAATGAAATCTGACATATTCCGTGCACCTCGCAGTTTTGCTTAGATCAGTTATTGATGATAGTCTCGTTCCCTCCAAATAATTTCGTGTGTTTATGTGCGTGGTTTAGATTGTGTAATGTGTTGACAGTGTGATTTTTATAACTTTTATGTATAGGTGTGTTGTTGTTGCTGTGGTGTGTGCATGCGTGTGTGTACGTGAGTGTATGCCTGTGTGAGTGGGTGCGTGCGTGGCTGGGTTTGAGATGATAAAGATTATGTACTCCGGATTAAGAAATCCGTTTAAAAAAAAATAGAATAGTTATATAGTACATATGATTGCTTGGTTAGACAATAATGTGCACAGACAATCGCAGATGAGTGATCTCACAATTGGCTGGCAATATGAAATCTCTACTGAGTAGTCACATATTGCAGAGATCAATCCACTGGCAGCAAGACAGTTGTGAGATGGTGAGCATGCATGACCTAGAATCCTATATGAAGAATGACATAGCTCTACCTTTTAGTAGTATTTTACTTTGAATTTTACTTTATTATGCCAAATAATATATTCAGAATCAACTAGAAGTAACTAAAAGCTTGACGTGGTGAGTATTGACTCAGGAACAATGAACATGACAGAAGGTTCCTCTGACTCTCTACCCTTATATATGTTACCTGCGCCACTACCATTTATTGACTGTTCACGTGACAGAAACAGTCGCGAATGACTGAGAGTAATTTGAATTTGAATATTGACACGAATTGTTTGTGTTTTCTGACTTCCTCGGAGGGAGGCCCTCACAGATATGCAGCCACTATCTTTAGTATCCTAGGTGACTTGCGTGTACCCTTACTTACTACTTAATAATCTTTGTTCCCAGAGCACCATAGGGCCACCGTGTAACCTAGCCAGTGCTAATGTACTTGCTGAACGGAACAACTTATACGGAATACTGTTAACTTCTTTTCCTACACATTTTTGTTCATCACTTGACTTGTTTGAATCATACGCAATTACCACAGAATACGCCAGTTATCTACGTAATTCAGGCCATGGTAGATAGACAGGTAAAAACCTTTCTATAAACATCAAATACTACCATACAAGATAGTATCAAATTATCAATAGTCCATAACAGAAGATTTCTATTATGGACTCTTGATAGTATTGTGCTAGTGGTGCATCTATTGTGTGCAATAGTCCCTTTCTTACCTTGAAATTGTGTTGTAATATGTTAAATGCTGCTATTATGCGCTGCAATATTTTCTGTGTATCTTAACATCTTGGCCTGTGTTGTGATATCCAACCAAATTCAGCAGTTAAAGTTTGGTTATTCTTCAAGTGTACAAGGATAACAAATGATGTTTTATTTCAATGTTTGGCAATAAAATATGGAATATTCTATCACATGTAATGATATAAATACTAAACGGAGGTTCGATTTTCTTTGCTCTAACTGAATTTTAAATGGAAGTGAAAAATTCCGTGTTGTACACCAGACAGGCAACAGACCCCATCAATCATTCAGTTTATTATCGTTCACGATTGTTGAGCTGCGAGTCAAACATTCCACTTGACATATATTTATATGAAATGTTTTACTGTTTATCTAGTGTAGAGATTGTAATTCATCCCCTTCGATTATTGAGAGAATCGTGCTGCATCGTCTCTTTATATCCCTGCATGTACTTAGTTATGTACTTACATGTATTTTGTGTGTAAGTGTTTTCTAGTCTATAGTTTGATAGTGATAGTTTCTGCGGTTTGATTTTTAATCTAATTTTTTGATGTTCCTTCATAATAAATTAGTTTGTGTGAGCTTGCTACCATCTACTCGCATAGGTGTAATTAAATTAAGAGTTGATTAGAATGGAGTCTTTCATGTTTTAGACGAGACTGTAGTGATGTTAGTGAAGTGTTGAACTGTATAAAATATTCACTATGCAGCTGATTTATTTCATATATATTGGCAAATGTTGTTTGTGTGTTCACAATTCATAATATGAAATGCAATGTCTGCAATTCGACCCATCACGTCATGGATGTAAAATTTAATAGAACACTGGCTCTACCAGTGTAGCCATTTGCTCTTCAACAGGAACCTGTTGCGGTGTGAAGGGTAGGCCTACTACAGATTTGGGGCTAAATCATAACGCCATAAAGACGAAAGGTAGCCCATCGTTGAGTATTTTTTACTGTGGTAAGCGATGCGTTTGAATCATCGATCATCAAACGTTATTTGTTAACATCACGTTATTGGATATCACTGCCATTCGTTCCCTTATTATTTTATTGGGATTGTACAACAAACTTTACAGTTGTGCAATTTTTTAATGAAAGATCACGTGTATGTTGTGACGAATATACGTATAGAGTTTAGCGTTACCTATCGATGTTATGCATTTGTATTTCAAGTAGTTCTCTTGATATTTCTAATTTAATATTTAACGAATGCTGAATACTGGTTCTACTGGTTGTGATACATATTAAATATTTCGTAGTACGGATTTAGCTCTGCCCGTGTAGCCCTCCTTCTATAGGTTCCTGTGGTGCAGCAGAGAGCTACACGGATAGAGCTGATGGGGATATGTTGTAGGATTTGGGTCCATATTTCCATGGTCCATTTGTATCACATTTGTCATATATGTCACATTTGTCATTTATCATCATTTTGTATTGTGGATGTGGCCAAACTCCACATATCTTCTCAGAGTCATGAAACTCAACATTTTCTCCACTCACAAATTTACTGGGATGAGTGAAAATTATTTGATAGTAGCGGATCCAGGGCTGAAGCTATTTTTCCAGATTTTAAGGGCACATCCCCCAAAGAGGGCACACCACCCCACAATGGGCACCGTCAGGCGCGGAAGCACATGGCGGGGGGTCTGGGGGGCCCCCTCCCAGGAAATTTCTAAATTTCAAGGGTCCCTGGGCACAAAAATGAGCACCATTTGAGCACACATTTAGTCAAGCAGCAATAGCTAAAAACCATATGGAATTTTATTTCTGCTTTATTTTGCCTGCGCTTTGCATACCAGCAATTAATGCAGAATGATTCAAGCACTTCCCTTCTTTTTCAGATATCAAAGCTAGTTTTGTTACCATGTAAAATTTTGATTTCCTTCAAGTCCTGTCAATAAATCAGCAGAAAAAGAAAACAAATAAAGAATATAGCCAAATTCCATCAAATTGTTTTCTGTATTTTTTTAGTGCAAAATTTCGAAGGGCACTTTGAAATCTAGACCGTATTTCCGGCATATATACGGTCTGAATCCGCCCTTGGGTTATAGCAAAATTAATTGTTGAGACGACACGCGTATAACGCGTACATATAATATATATATATATATATACGTATATATATATATGCCACCATAGATATATACACACAACAACATGTGTTCGTATAATATAATCAGGAGTGAATAATAATATATATATATATTATTATTCACTCCTGATATAATGATAACAGTGCACCACCTAACCCACAACCCTAAGCAGAACGAAAGCACTCCGTTACTCTCCGCTACAGGAAAAATACCACCAGATCACGTGATCCGCCCTGGACCCAGTGAAAGCACTGAAAGGCTGAGGCTGGAAAGATAGCAGTATGTTGGATAAAATTAAAGCTTACTGAAATTTCGTATATTCCTAGTGCAGTTTGAGCTGCATAGTTTTATGAAAGGCGTATAGTTAATGTGTTTTACATAAAGGTCACACAGGAAAAGTTGTATACGTGAACTTGTTCGCCGTTTTGCCGAATTTCGGGGTGAACTACTACGCATTTCTCATCAGGATTGGCCAGCACAGCAGATAGGCCTAGGCCTACCGTACACGGTAACAAATATGTCGTCGCGGCCCAACCACTGCGTAAACAACCGCATCCATCCACGAACAGAGACTTTTTTGTGCGGTGTTGTCGAAGGTAAGTTACTCTTCTGTATTCACACAGGGAGTTTATTATGAAGATTACAAAAAGATAGATCCTACCAGGCTACCTTAGAAATGTTCCCTTGAATTTCTGACGCTAGAATTATTTTGTAACCTCACTAGGAATATTATTATTATCAAATCTAGGGCACAATTTATTGCCATTGCCATTGCCATTGCCATTGCCATTGCCATTGCCATTGCCATTGCCATTGCCATTGCCATTGCCATTGGTCTAGGTTTAGTAGTTATACTGTCACTGAAACCGCTAATTGGATATATATGTGAATATGCAGCACTTACATAATAATTATACATCAATTCCTCAGCCTATACTATACAATACAGTAAGTAGGTATACTCCTAATTTGCATTTGCATTTTACTATAGGTTTCTATGGACGTCCTTGGACGGCAGAACAACGCAAGGAGCTGTTCAAGCGGTAGTCTACATAATTAATACACTCACAATAATTAAATTATATGCTGTTAGACTTGTTCCTACTCCGCATTGGTAATAGCAATTTAGCAGTAGCATGCTGTTTCCACTTACTGCTTAGGTCGGTTCTGAGACATTTTACGTATAGAAACTTGGAAAGGGTGAGGAAGATGTCTTATCAGCACTAGTTGTCTGCTGTGAAAGAGCATATTTAGAAAGATTAAATACAGGCAAATTGGCTCCGGGTATAATGTATCCAGCAGTTTTCTGAGTTAGCAATCCAGTACTTGCCCCCCTATTTAGATGGCGTTATGTAATGTCTTCCTAGGAAGACACTAAACTGGTCATTGAACTTGCCTTTTTGGCTCACCTTGACATCGTCAAGCTGAGCTATTGCCATGGGTCGTCGTACATCCGTCCGTCTGTCCGCCCGTCAACATTTGGCTACGGTCAACGATAACTCGGGAATCGTTTGACCCACATGTTTGAAATTGGGTATAGTTATTACTGCTATGCTCCCATATTAAACGTCCTATTTTGGAGCACGCCAGTCGACGTACTTTCGAGCCACGGCAATTTTTTGGCAAAAATGGGAATTGCCATTTTAGTCTATTCAGGTTCAACGGTTTTGCTCATTTTTGTATGTGAATGAATAACGGCTAGGGGTTTTGATATTTTAAAAAAAAAATTATTACAAATTAGGTAGGTTTGGCTTATATAGCTTATTATATAGACACGCAGATAACAAACAGTCTGTGGTGTCCACATCTCGTTCTGTGTCGTTTTACAAAATTTCATTGACAATATCTTTAATGCAAAATTCCTGCTATGAACATGTTATGATTTATACTATTTATTATTATATTTATTATTATTATTATGATTATAATGATTTATGCCTAAGAAACATCAAAGCGGGTATAGTGCCTTATCTACTGTCACAATTGTGATTCATTTTTGTTTATATAATTAATTTATTAATCTTATATATATAATATTATTTATTATTTTCACATAAAAAATTACACATAATTATCAAGAGTATATAATGGGAGTTCTCCCATATATACTCTTCGTTTCTATAATGTACGTCGATGGTTGCTCAATTAAAACTAACTTCTTCTCACTCACTCATTTGTGTCCTTTTTGTGGTGAGCTACAGTGTCATTGACACTTTCATTTGTAGTGAGCTACAGTGTCATTGACACTTTCATGTTATTTTCATCAGTTGTTACACTCCAATCATTGACATTCCCTCTACTGCTCACGTCGCTTAGCATGATAACCAAATATATTTGATCTTGGTTTTTAGGATGCATATGATGGGGTTGAACACATACATGTATGCACCCAAGGATGATTACAAACATAGAGCATATTGGCGAGAGCTGTATTCTGTTGAAGAAGCAGGTGTGTACTAATGTGCTTAGGAGCAATGTAATGGTGCACTTTATAATTATTACATTATATGTTGAATTGCATTTATGCAAACCTGTATATGTATCTATATAACCCCTTGTGTATATATAACCCCTGAGTCACTCAAGGGGTACAAGTGTACCTTTATAGACAAGTGTCAATGTTATATATGTTATACATATAATTATGCTGAATGACTGCACTCAGAAAATGTCAAACATGCCCTTTACAAACAGGTCCTTTAGATGTGGTTTCAATATATTACATGTAATTCATGGGGAAAACCAAATTGTCTGTTATAGACAGGTGTGAATTATGTAGAGGTGTGTACGAACACGTCAGCTTACATAAATGTGGCAAGGTGTGAGTCAGCGAAATTTACCTTTCCTTTTTAATGGACTCATTGAAGAGGCATGTGCAGTGGCCTAATTTCGACGGTTAACCAGCAAGCAGAAGTACTGTATGATTATTAGGTCTCTGTGAACTTGGGCTTTGCCATTGATTCCGCTAGATTACTGTGACGTTTTGTATGAGTCGTCATTGTATTTGCAGACCTGTTGACTAGTCTCATAACAGCAGCCAAAGATAACGGCGTTCAGTTTGTCTATGCGTTATCTCCCGGTCTTGACATCACCTTCTCCTCTGCGAAGGAAGTTGCGTGCCTGAAGAGAAAGCTGGAGCAAGTATGTCACATGTTGTAGTTACGACACAGTCACCTCCATCACGACACCCACATTAGAATCATAAAACATGAATCAAAATGTGTTGCTAGATATCGTTATGGCATAACACAGGTATCACAACTTCTGAAGTACCAGTACAGTCATCTGTTGACGTTCTATATCACAACCAGTCATACGCACTACATGATAAACTGCATGAAACTTGTTTTTTTTTAGCCAGTTTATCAGATTTTATGATAATATTAGTATTTTCATTTTAATGGTAAATCCATAAAATTAACCTATTAGCTGGTAGCTAGTTGTGAAACTGGTATAGCTATCTGTGTCAAGCTGAAGTAACCTCATCTAGAAGTAGCTGGAGTGGCTAATGAAGCTCTGTTCAACTGTTGCTCATACGAAAAGGTGATGGTGCTATTTCATGGTTCGCACAGTCCTTGAAAAGTCCTTGAATTTGAGGGGAGTCCTTAAAAAGTACTTGAATTTGAGGGGAGTCCTTAAAAAGTACTTGAATTTAGTAAATGTTGATTTTGTGCATGAAAAGTTCTTGAATTTCATGAAAATGTCCTTGAATTTTATGAAAATGTCCTTGAATTTTTAGAAAGAATCCTTTGTAATAAAAAGAAATTTTGTACCATCAATAATGTGCAAACCTCAATAAAAATTGCGTTAAATGAGCTTGAAAAGCTATAGACACGATAGACAGTTAAATGATAATCACAAATTACAGTAAGTCAGTAAAATCAGTCAGTAAGTCAAGGTATGTTGTACAGAAGTGACAGTGTTTAGAAGGGTTTATTAATGTGATCCAGGTAAGTTTTAGGGGTGACATGCAGTGATTAAGAATGGGGTTATTAAATTAATCCAGGTATGTTTTGTTCTGTGTATGAATTCCGATAAAATGACTGATAAAATGATTTTGAATTTCCGATAAAATGTCCTTGAAAAGTCCTTGAAAAAAATTGCAGTCCTGTATGAACCATGTATTTATACCTGTGCATCATTACCAGACTGCAGAAGTATTTTTTTAACATCTGTCTGTCACTGTCGCCGCATAGCAGAAATGGTTTCAACCGCATGGTCCGTATTGTGTTTGTGTGCCTTGCATCGGATAATTGCATCAGATCACCCTTTAAATCTTGCAGGTGTCGCACTTTGGTTGTCGTGCGTTTGCATTGTTGTTTGATGACATCGAGGCAGACATGTGCGAGGCAGACAAAGCCGTCTTTCAGTCGTTTGCCTACGCACAGGTGTCGGTCACTAACGAGGTCTTTCAACACCTGGAACAGCCGCGGTTCCTCTTCTGCCCCACAGGTAATGGATATAATGTTGTGACGCTGTTAAAGTGTAATAGTTGGTGGGCACGCCCAGTGTTGCAAAAAGTGGAAATAGCAGCCCATCCTCCTGTCTGGGTCTGGTACCTTTTGAGCAGGACTGGCTAATCGGCGAGGATTTACATTTTTTGGAAATTTTCGAAAAATCGGGACTAGCTGGGTTTTTAGACCCTTTTCCAAACTTGGCACACTAGTAAATTTTTTTGGGAATTAAGGTGAATTTTAGTGCGTTCAGGGACAGGAGCCAGTGGTACAAGCACAGGGCTTTAAGTGATATCAGAAAGTCCAACTGTGCTATTTAGGTCATAGAAAAAGAGGGTATAAAATGGACTAGGCGCGTGTAGGAAAGTACGTGATTAATGTAAACACTCATGCGTTTTTAGTTTTTGCATTAACACAAACATTGCAAAATATCCCAAATGACCACAATCATATTTGTAAATGTTTCTGTGAACAGAAACGCACCTGTGAATTGAACTACGATGTTAGTGAAGAGAATTATAGATCAAAAACCTAGACTAGTCCTATCCTAACCATGTTATACACTGTTATACATGTTATATATAGGCAACTTATACCCCCTCTTATCTGATCTCAATATGGTGGCGGGGACTTTCCGATATGGCTTATTGTGATTTAATCAAGAGCGTATAAAGAAGTAGAGCGTACAACGGTGAAATGCTGAAACCATGTTGCAGTATCAGTCAAATTAATAAACTCCCTGTTTTATATTGACGATTTTTTGCAGTATTATTGATCACCTGTCCTACCTGTCCTTCCTTTAGTGATGAAAAATAGTGACATATATCAAATTAACTATGTTATGTACAACTACTAAGAAATTTACAGGTTGAATGGTTTTCGGGTGGATTTTTAGCTCATCTGACATAGTCAGATGCAGCTTGTAGAATCGCATGATCGTCCGTCCGTGCGTGCGTCCGTCCGTGCGTCCGTCAACAGTTGGGCACAAATCTTAACCGCTCGACGTACGGTCACGATATTCGGGACGTGGGGGGTAATCCGAAAACGAGTTGGGATGTCGAAGCGTCAAAGGTCAAGAGGTGTAAAAGAAGGTGGAACATTCACTCCTAACTTAAGGTATAGGGAGGAAATGCAGAATTGCGCACAAAAATCTAAACGGCTCGACCTAGCTCGTGATAGTCGGTGTATAGCATCATGGTAGGAAAAGCCATCACTGTGCTGAAATTGGAGGTCACAGGTCAAAGGTCAATGGGCACAGGGCAGATTTTAAACATTTTCTGAGGACATGGTCTGACGGAGCGATTGAAAAACTTTTTTGTTTCAGCGGTGACCTAGCATTTTTTATGGCATTATTGAAAGGACCATGAAACTACTTTCTGCTGACATGCGAAGAGTAAGTGTCAGATAATCTTTTGACCCTCAGAGGAGGGTTAAACATGGATTTGTTGACTGTCTGTTAGAAAGAATTTGACTGCCGGGTTTGCTAGTAGAATCTATACATGCCTGGATGTATGATAGTCTACTAGCCACCCCTATGTCGTTCTTTACTGAACCTAGAAATGTTAGTACTACTATAGGTTTTATGTTGAAATGCAATATACAGGTCATAAGAACTAAGAAACTGCCGGATGCTAATTTGCATATGTGTAGCATTTTGCTTAATGCGCCTAATTAGCATATTAATTAGGTCAAATCACAAAATCAAGAATTCTTTCTTAGTAATCCACATAGAGACTTCATTCGTGTGTCTAGACCCATGTTTTCGACACTAAGCAATTGATTGGCATGGATTCAAAACCCCTACCATCTGCCGACTGCCAGAAATCCAATATGGCTGCCATGCATAATGAGGTCAACCGTAAAATCACCATAACTGACCAACTGTTGAGAGATAGAGACTTTGTTTGATGTTTAGACCCATGTTCTTAACACCAAGGATTCCATCGTCTATAGACACTTATATATTTAACAGTAAGTTATTATTATATATGAAAATGTTAAATAATTATGATGCAGCTAGATCATGGAATACATAGATGAACACCCAACACATCAAACTACTTACTATTCGCCTTCTTCTTCATGGTTGTGATCATTCTCTCCAGTCTCTAGATCCTCTTCTCCTTCCTTCTGCTCTTTATATCCTTCTTCAGACATCATCTTGTTGTGTCAGTGAGTTACAACACTCATTCCTCCTTCACACACATAGTAGCTGGTACATGACAATCCATTTTGCTGCACAACCACACTTCTGCTGCAGGCACTTCCCTCTGCTCGGCAGCTGCAGCTAATGACGTCCATGGAGGTTTTTTGGTGCGGTAGTTCTTTTGACAGCACTGGTACCACTTCATCGTTTACAGTAACTTTCCATCCATAGTTAGTGATTTGGACAGCAGGAGGGCATCGCCTGTCTGCAGCCTTCCATAGCATCATTTGGAGATGTGCTCTCGCGATAGGGAGTCTCAGGTTGATGTCTGTTGGTGGAAGGGACTTCACGGATGGAGGATTCTTTTGCTTGCGATAAATCTCGTACCTGGAAGCATTCATTGACGTGCATTTCTTCTGGCCATATAAATGTAGGAAGAAGGCTTTGCCAGTTGCCATCAGGTCACTGTCAGTGGCATCGTCCTTTCCAAGAACTGAGTCTAGTCCAGCAATATTGGTCTGGTTGAGCACTTTCAGGGCGGACACTTTCTCTCTCCCATTAGGATAGGACACCAGTGTCACAGCCTGAGAGTGCGTGCATTCCCAATATTTTCTTGCATTCTTCCGAGCTTGGTGACAGTGGCATTGATGTCAAGCACGGATCCATCCCACTTTTCCATCTGAACATGGCATGATACTCCATCCTTCCAGCACCAGTACACGAGCAGCACGAATACATCTGCGTCATCACTAAGGATGCGCACAGTCCGAGCTCCACCGATGCAGCACGAAGCATGTAGCTGATGAGAGATACGTCTGCTTCATCATGATGCACAATACTGTTGGCTTGGCTCACAAGTTCAATGTTGCTACCAAGATTATGTGTGCAGAGTAGTTGTGAGAGCTGCCTGTTGTTGTTCTTGTTTTTCATGATGGCATCACGACCAGCTAGTGGTGAGTTCAGAGTCAGTTGATATGCAGTGGATCCCTCCCCGGCTCTCCTCTGCCTCTCGTGATCCTTTGCACCGATACCTTCATGCCGATCAAAGATGACATAAGTGTCTGCCCCTCTGTAGTTGATGAGGCAAGATTTCCTTCCTTCAGCAAGATCACCCACTGTACCCGAGGATGGCCAGACATTGTGGTAAAGTAGCTGAGAGGCGTCCACCAGCAGAGTGCCAGAGGGAAGAGGGTTCTTTTGATGACGCCGAGATGTTTAACTAGTACTGACTTGTTTCCAATCGGAGGAATCCATACTCGTCGATGAAGTGATGGAGAAACAGGGCACAGCTATGATGGAAGACAGCAGACAACTCAAGATTCCTCTCTGTCAACGATCAGGAGACGGGCGAATAGCGTTTCCAGGTCATAGACAATTTTGTTTTTCCTTTACACTTTTTGATATTGGTAGCAACATTGAACTTGTGAGCCAAGCCAACAGTATTGTGCATCATGATGAAGCAGACATATCTCTCATCAGCTTCATGCTTCGTGCTGCATCGGCGGGAGCTCGAACTGTGCGCATCCTTAGTGACGACACAGAAGTATTCGTGCTGCTCGTGTACTGGTGCTGGAAGAATGGCGTATCATGCCATGTTCAGATGGAGAAGTGGGATGGATCCGTGCTTGACATCAATGCCACTGTCACCAAGGAGAGAAATGCAAGGAAATATTGGGAATGCACGCACTCTCAGGCTGTGACACTGTGTCCTATCCTAATGGGAAAGGGAAAGTGTCCGCCCTGAAAGTGCTCAACCAGACCGATATTGCTGGACTAGACTCAGTTCTTGGAGAGGACGATGCCACTAGCAGTGACCTGATGGCAACTGGCAAAGCCTTCTTTCTACATTTATATGGCCAGAAGAAAGGCACGTCAATGAATGCTTCCAAGTACGAGATTTATCGCAAGCAAAAGAATCCTCCATCCGTGAAGTCCCTTCCACCAACAGACATCAACCTGAGACTCCCTATCGCGGAGAGCACATCTCCAAATGATGCTATGGAAGGCTGCAGACAAGGCTGACCTCTCTGCTGTCCAAATCACTAACTATGGATGGGAAGTTACTGTAAACGATGAAGTGGTACCAGTGCTGTCAAAAGAACCTACCGCCACCAAAAAAACCTCATGGACGTCATTAGCTGCAGCTGCCGAGCAGAGGGAAATGCCTGCAGCAGGAAGTGTGGTTGTGCAGCAAATGGATTGTCATGTACCAGCTACTATGTGTGTGAAGAAGGAAATGAGTGTTGTAACTCACTGACACAACGAGATGATGCTGAAGAAGGATATAAAGAGCAGAAGGAAGGAGAAGAGGACTAGAGACTGGAGAGAATGATCACAACCATGAAGAAGAAGGCGAATAGTAAGTAGTTTGATGGTGTTGGGTGTTCATCTATGTATTCCATGATCTAGCTGCATCATAATATTAACATTTTTATATATAATAATAACTTACTGTTAAATATATAAGTTCTATAGACGATGAATCCTTGGTGTTAGAACATGGGTCTAAACATCAAACAAAGTCTCTATCTTCCAACAGTTGGTCAGTTATGTGTGATTTTACGGTTGACCTCATTATGCATGGCAGCCATATTGGATTTCTGGCAGTCGGAAGGATGGTAGGGGTTTGAATCCATGCCAGATCAATTGCTTAGTGTCGAAAACATGGGTCTAGACACACGAATGAAGTCTCTATGTGGATTACTAAGAAAGATATTCTTGATTTAGTGATTTGACCTAATTAATATGCTAATTAAGCCGATTATGCAAAATGCTACACATATGCAAATTAGCATCCGGCAGTTTGGGAGTCCTTATGACCTGTATATTGCATTTCCAACATAAAACCTTAT